GAGTAATCATAAAAATATTAAAAAACAAAAATTTTTTTCTTTCTTAGAACGTGATGGTAGTCTTCTAGAAGGTGTTGCACAACATTATTTCAAACAACTTATTACTGGAATGGTAGAAATTGATTTAAAAAGAAACAAGAATTTTTTAGACTTTTGTTTTTAGGCTTATCTTCATAGTCTTGGTGTAGCACATCGAGGTTTGAGAATTATTTAATAAAATTTATAAATTTCTTTTTTGTTTAATTAGATCTTAAAGCACAGAATATTCTTATCGGACATAATAGTAAAATAATAATGAATAAAAAGAAAAAAAATATTCTTTTTTTTTAACTAGATCTGATCAAAATAATCGATTTTGGATTGGCGAGTTTGTTTCGAAATGAAACAACTCATGACGAAAAATTATTGACGATCTATTGTGGCACAAGGTCTTATATGTCACCACAGGTAAATTGATTCTAATGAAGATGAATAAAATGTGATAATAATTTTCTTTTAGGTTTAGTCTCGATTACCCTATCGGGGTGAACCTGCTGATATATGGTCTTCTGGCATTATTCTAATATTTATGCTGGTCGGAAGTAAATATTATTATAACATTTGTTTTTTTTTGTATTTTATTTTGTTTTGTTTAAGATTTACCGTGGACCGAAGCATCTCATAAAGATCGTAATTATCAACTATGGCTCCACGGTCGATATAACAATCATCCATGGAAAAATATACAAAACACTATATTTGATCTTCTTCGTCAGATGTTAATCTATGATCCTGAACAACGTGCAACAATAAAAGACATAAAAAATCATCAATGGATGTCTAAAAGTTATGAAGAAGGTAATATTATATTGTATTGATTAAAGGACATGATCCATATTTAGATGAACGCATTAAAGAAGTTTTTATAGAATTTTCAAATTCAAATTCACCATCGTCATATAAAAAAAGCCAAAAAAATAATCATAATTCAGTATCAACAATATGTATACTTGAACCAACAGCAGAATGTGAAACTCATAATCGTTTATCAACTAAAAATGATCCCATGTTCCGAAAACTGGATCAGTTTTAGCGGTAAACCGCGGTATTTCTCAAAACCGCCGGTTTACCGAATTTCACCGGCAAAGCCGCCGGTTTGCTGCGGTTAACCGCGGGTTTTAAATGATACCGCGGTTCTTTACAAGTTCCACCGGTCAGCCACGGTGTACCGCTAGTTTTTCCGGTGAAGAAAAGACGACGAGTGTGTATAGAACAGAAAAAAAAACATGTATATATACATGTGCTCGCCGATTTTTCTCATTTTGCTGGTTTGCGTGGTTAGATAAAATAATCAAGACAAGAATAAGAGGCGCAGTATAGATTTAATTATTTTTATACATAATCTTTTCATAATTATTTCATTTTTAAAAGATTAAGTTTTAACTATTCACTTCTTTTTTATTAATATTTTGATACTGACTTCTCTTTTAGATTAATCTTTTTTTATTTAATTTTCAGATTATTTTTTTAAATTCAATTTATTATTTTTTTAAACATTTTTAGATTAAGTTTTGTACATTATTTTTTCAGATTAATTTTTTTATATTAAATTTTTATATTTTTTTAACACTTATTTTTTAGATTCATTTTTTAATATTTTATTTTTAAATTCATGTTTTCGCATTTTATTTTTAATCTAGTTTTTTTATATTTGATTTTTTAGATAATTTTTTTAAAATGTTAAATTTTTTGCAATAATTATTTTTGCTTTGATTTTTTAATATAAATTTTTCATTTTTTGCTATATACAACTTTTTTTTGTTTGCTTGTAGTTTTTTTTAAATAAACTAGTTTAATTCAAAGATAACTGTTAAATTTAAAACAAATATTGTCGAGACCAAGGCTAGAACAGTGCCGGTAAACTGCGGTTTACCAGGAAAAGAAAACTAGTAATTAACGGTGATTTACCGCGGTTCACCGGATAAAACAGCCAGTTTACCGGATGAAACCGCCGATTTGCCGCGGTTAAACCAGGTTTACCGGACAAAACCGCGGTTAACCGCCGGGTGTGAGTGGGTGTGGGTGTGGGTGCATGCAGTTCCGTCGAATTCCGTGCAACTCCTAGATGAAGCGATTCCAGGAATTACATTTGGGAATCGCATCCAGTCATAAGATGTAAGGGGTGGTGTATTACTAGAATGTATGAGTGATTCCGGAATTGAACGGAATTACATGGAGCTGCATGCAATTGTGTGCAGTTCCTAGTTGAAGTGATTCCCGGAATTGCACGCAAACATAAGAGATAAGGGGAAGGTGTTAGTT